CCAGGCCCGTAATCTGTCATGGGCCCCTGTACCCCCCCCCTCATGCTGTGCCAGGTCCAGAGTGTGTGGGGGGTCCCTTTACGGCCTCCCATTGTTTGTTTGCCAGGCCCCGAAAATCTGCCAGGGGCCCCCCGTACCGGGATTTCCCCCCCCCCCCCCCTATTGTGTTTCCCCCAGGCCCGAAAATCGGGTTCAGGGGCCCCCTTTTACCCCTCCTCATGCTGCGCCAGGCCCATAATCTGCCGATGGGCCCCCCGTACCGACTCATCCCATAAAGCGCTGCCAGTCGCGCTAAATCTGTCCATGGGCCCCTGTACCGCCTCCTCATGCCTGCTGCCGAGGATCAGAGAGTGTCATGGGTCCCTGTTACAGACCGTCCCATTGCTGCGTGCGAGAAGGCCCTAACTGCCATGGGCCCCCGTACCGACTCCCATCTGCTGCCATGTACCCGTAATCTGTCATGGGCCCCGTGACCGCCTCCTCATAGCTGATAGCTGGGGCGGGGGAACAAACCGACACTGTGCGCTGCATGTGCACATCAAGTTACGGCCCTTGTTGGCTTTGGCGTGTCGAACACGTCGCGCGCGCGGGTGTGACCAAAACTACTCTCCCTGAGGGCCCCACCGAGCCCCGCTAGCCCACCATCTTCTCTGGTCACGTCTCACACTGCTGGTGTTCCTGCTCTACACACACATAAGACAAGGCTACAATCGCAATTACCCTCACAGAGTGCCCCCTACGACGTCTGTGCTTAACCTTAATAACCCCACTCCTTATCCCCCACTCCCCCTCCCCACCCCCCGCCCAATTCCGTACCGACCCTCTCATTGCTAAACATATCACACACCGAGCCCTATAACCGCTCCTACACTCAAAACTCCGCCCAACACGATCTTCTAAATCCTGTGTATATCGTCGCAACGCTCTCTCGACGTCTCTCTCTCTATATCTTTATCCACACTAAATCATCACAAATGAGCGGGCTCTGTGAGTACTAGAGTGTGCACTGTAACACCACAAACCTCCATGCGCTGCTGCCAGGGTTCTCCAGAGTGTGCCATGGGCCCCTGTACCGACTACCTCATGCCTGCAATGCGCCAGGCCCGTAATCTATATTCTCTGGGACCCCCCGCGGGTACCGACTCTCATGCTGCCGAGAAAAGCCTCAATCAGGCACCACGTACACTTCAGGGCGTGTCATAGGGTCTGGCCAGATGGGCCTCCCATTGCTGCCTGTGAGCCAGGCCGTAATCTGCCAGAGGCACCACCGTGTAAATACCGACTACCTCATGCTGCTGCCAGGCCCGTAAATCACTGTCATGGGCCCCTGTACCCCAGCCTCCTCATGATGCGTGCTGCCAAGGATCCATACGTGCCCCCAGGTCCCTGTAAACAAGTATCTCCCATTGGGGGGGGTGGGGAGCCCCACGAGCGAGAGGGGGGGATCACATGCTGCTCCATATGCCACTGGTCATGGGCCCCAGGTACCCGCCTCCTCCTGAATGAATGGGTATTCCACTCTATGTGTCATGGCGTTCGCCAGGAGGGGGACGCGGGGCTGTACGGCCATCCATTGCTGCTGTCTCCATCGGCCAATACTCTGCCATGTGCCACTTGTCAGGACTCCTCACAACTGCTGGTGGGTTCCGATTTTCTGTCATAGGGAATGCTGTACGGCCTCTCCCATTGCTGCATGCTCTAGGCCCGTAAATCTGTCCATGTCGGCCCCCCCCCGTACCGCGACTCCTCCATGCTGGCTGCTGCAAGGCCCCCCAGGGGGGGGCCGTAAATCATGTCCATGGGGCCCCTGTACGCCCCCGCGCCTCCTCATGCTGCTGCCAGGTCCAGAGTGTGTCATGGGTCCCTGTGTAGGCCTCCCAATTTGCTGCTGTCATCCCCCATCCCGCCTACAACTACATGCGCCATGTTGCCACTTTCAGGTCTCCTCACACTACTGTGGGTTCCATTTTGTCATAGGGTGCTGGCAGATTACGGGCCTCCCATTGCTGAAGAAATGCCAGGCCCGTAATCTGCCATGGGCCCCCGGAAAACCCCCCTCACCGTACTCCCCCCCCCCCCCCCCCCCCTCTCCCCCCCCCCCCCCCCCCCCTCATCCCCGCTGCTGAGAGCCAAGTACCCGTAATCTGTCATGGGCCCCTGTACCGCCTCCTCATGCTGCTGCCAGGTCCAGAGTGTGTCATGGGTCCCTGTACGGCCTCCCATTGCTGCTGTCTCCATCGCCACACTCTGCCATGTGCCACTTTCAGGTCTCCTCACACTGCTGTGGGTTCCATTTTGTCATAGGGTGCTGTATGGCCTCCCATTGCTGCTGCCAGGCCCGTAATCTGCCATGGGCCCCCGTACAACCGACTCACCTCATGCTGCTGCCAGGCCCGTAATCTGTCATGGGCCCCTGTACCGCCTCCTCATGCTGCTGCCAGGTCCAGAGTGTGTCATGGGTCCCTGTACGGCCTCCCATTGCTGCTGTCTCCATCGCCACACTCTGCCATGTGCCACTTTCAGGTCTCCTCACACTGCTGGTGGGTTCCATTTTTTCATAGGGTGCTGTATGGCCTCCCATTGCTGCTGCCTCCACCGCCACACTGTGGCTCCACACTCTGGTTTTGGCCCCGTGACTGCCCAAATGAGTGAAGTGTGCGGTGATTCTAAGATCGACGGCACTCATCTGCATGTCATACTGACTGACAGTATTATTTCTCTTCCCCCCAGCAGACTCCAAGGGCATTTAAATTAAAGGTACAGTGTTCTGCACTAATATAAAGGCTCTCTGAAGCCTAGAAACACCCTTTTTATAAGTTAAATTCGCAGCGAATATATTCGACTCGAAACACCGAATCAGCCAAATCGAATTTTTGAATAATTCGCTCATCTCTAGTAAATAACCATCAATAATTGGAAAAAAAATTTAATATTGAAAAAAAAATAAATCTATACTCGGTGAAAAACCTAAACATTAATCAAACTCATAAAATAATTCAAACATATATAAGTGTAAATAGCTGACTATAACAAAAATAAATATTTATATATTTAAAAAAAAGTCCATAAATGAATAAAAAATGTTAATATTCTCATTAAGCCTTCTGTGTTATACAACACCAACACCGCGTGAAATCCGCCACCAGACAAAATTAATAAAAACTCACCAGAGCTCCATGCTGGTAATACTATAAACCAGCTAAAAACGCAGTGGCTCTGGGAGCAACGATCTGCAGAGACGCCAGCTGACTATTACAACTCCTAAATTGGATCTTCATATACTCATATGGAACCACAGAGGAAAGGAAGAGGAAGCTTCATAGCGTAAAACCATAAGGATACTTTATTTCATTAAAAGATATGTCACACTCACAATGTAAAGTGTCATAGCGGACACTGGCATAAACCTCATATACATAAAACAGCAGGTCAACTCTGGTCTGAAACACCGACCGCTCACCTGTATGTGGTGACGTCACCTTAAAAGCCCCGCTCCGCATTTTGTCTTCCGACGTTCTCCAGGAGCGAAAGCGGGGTGGGGCTTTGGAGGTGATGTCACCATGTACGGGTGAGCTGTCAAACTGAGGGGGGGCAGTGAGTGGGTGAGTGGCACAAAAAGAACATGTTACAACCTAAATTCGGATGTAATATGTAACATGTTCCAAAAGGTAAACTTATCCTTTAATTGTACCTAAGCAATCTGCCATTTGTCTTCAGTTCCTCCTGTTAGCGGTTTGTTCAGCAAACAAAATGTAAAGAGAACAAATGGAAGCAAGGACACCTCTTGGGGCATGAACAATGGGAAAGGTGACTGAACAAACAAAATAAGCCAAGTCTAGTCTAGCTGAAATTTCATTGTTTTGGCAATAAGGAAGATCAACAGCAAATTGGACAGAAAATGACACTAGTCACTACATTTCTGTGTTCACTACTGAGCTAAAACCAACATCATTGTACATTTCAGACAAAGGCAGTATCTCTCTATTGTTCATTGAAATAAAGGACAGTGGGAAAAGTTTCTCTATACTTTTTGAGGACATGTTAATTCAAACGTCATGGATTTATATTATGAATGCTAACTCTAAAAATATGTGAACACTTTTCAATATATATCAATACATACAAGACTCAATCTTTATTATTATGTTTATATATGATTGCAATTTTTATAGTAAGAAAGATGTACATTTAATCATTTGACAAGATGAAAATATGACATTGCTGAGGCTTTTTAGTTTTGGGTAAAAGGTACAAAAAGGAACATCACTGTTTCCGTATAAATAAATAATAATTCACAAAAAGCCATAGTTAGGATGAAATATAATATCAGGCTTACTATAGTAATCTTTGTTAGGAATCATTATTTTATATATTGTCTGGGTTATAGTGTAGCAATAACAGGTAGTAGGTTAAAACATTCAAATTGCTTTTATTTTATTATTCTTTGTGTTAATTATGGACCCCTATGTACACTATATTAGCAAAAGTATTGCGATGCCCGCCTTTACATGCACATGAACTTTAATGGCATCCCAGTCTTAGGGTTCAGTATTGACTTTGCCCACCCTTTGCAACTATAACAGCTTCAACTCTTCTAGGAAGGCTGTCCACAAGGTTTAGGAGTGTGTCTATGGGAATGTTTGACCATTCTTCCAGAAGCGCATTTGTGAGGTCAAGCATTGATGTCGGACAAGAAGGTCTGGCTAGCAGTCTCTGCCCTAATTCATCCCAAAGGTGTTTGATTGGGTTGAGATCAGGACTCTATGCAGGCCAGTCAAATTCCTCCACCCCAAACTCACTTCCCTTCACTGGAACTAAGGGGCCAAGCCCAATCCCTGAAAAACAACCCCACACCATAATCCCCCCTTCACCAAACTTTACACTTGGCACAATGCAGTCAGGCAAGTACAATGCTCCTGGCAACTGCCAAGCCCAGACATGTCCATGGGATTGCCAGACAGAGAAGCGTGATTCATCACTCCAGAGAACACATCTTCCCTGCTCTAGAGTCCAGTGATGGCATGCTTTACACCACTGCATCCGACACTTTGCATTGAACTTGGTGATGTAAGTCTTGGATGCAGCTGCTCGGCCATGGAAGACCATTCCATGAAGCTCTATGCACTGTTATGCTAATCTGAAGGTCACACAAAGTTTGGAGGTCTTTAGCTATTGACTCTGCAGACAGTTGGTGACTTCTGCGCACTGTGCACTTCAGCATGCGCTGACACTGCTCTGTTATTTTATATGGCCTACAAGGGTCCAGCAATGTGCTCACCCACGATGTCCCTTCTCTCCTTCTCTCCACAGTGCCAGCATCTCAACTGTGGGCACCAGTCTGTGACAGATTGTGGTTTCAAAGCCGGGTGCCCACTGCGCATGCGCGAGTTGCGCTGCACATCCTGATTGGTCCAGCAGTCTTCTGGGACCTGTGAAGGTTCCCAGGAGACTGAGGGAGGAAAGAAGAGGGCAAAACTTCTGTCTCACTTCACTGTGGTGAACTGAGCCGGAAGTGGGAGCGGGTACCTGTCAAAACCAGGTACCCACTCCCCCCTCC